CCAGAACCGGCACACGAAAGTGCATGTTTAATGATCGTAAAGACGGAAAAAACTTCTCCCTCATGCTGTATTTTTAATTTTTGTATTGCACAATGCACTTGATTAACTTCGACTGGCTTCTATTAGAGGATAGGCCAGCTCCATGAATGTCTGATTGGGCTGTCCGGCGATTGGCGGCAAGGTCCTTACAGAGGTTGACCCAGTTGGATTTTTCTTTGACGAATGCCGTACGCCATAAGATAAACCAGTTGGTCTATTTGAAATACTTTTACCAGCCAGGTTTCTATTTGTCCTCCTTGTCGGTGGTAGCACACTGCGTAATAAAACGGTGATAGGACAGTATATGCCAAAGCGTGGTCAGGTTTGCGGAGGACGTGTCTAAGCGTTCTGATCGATGGCTGAGGCGACAGCGATTTCTAATGGTCTCGTTCGATATTCTATCACGTCACTTGACTTCCAAGATGTGTAACACCGGTGGTCAAATGCCACTGACGCCATGATATCCGCAACTCATACCACCGTGTCATGAAGAGAGGGGTTTAACACTGTGGTCATGTGCTCCGGCTGTTCAGTTACAATGACGAGCAGGCCAATCGGTGGGACTTCGAATGGTGCATCGCGTAAGGACCCTATATAACTGGAGTGGTGTTGAGCCAAAAGACAACGAGGTTGCGTACCACCAAACTTGGGCGGCGGTCTTAAGGTTCGAGCCTCGCACTCCAGGACCCGAAGTCATTGAAAGTGGTTTCTCTTGACTGACACCACGAGTACGTTCATCATAAAAATTGACGACCGGTTCCTTTGTGTATGTGTTCAAGTGTGCAGTTCTGTAAAGAAATAAGGGGAATGCTTCTTCATTTAATAGTTGTACAAACCAAACCAAACAACCCGGAATCCAAAATTGGTTTAGTCTACGCGTGACCTTCAACGCCTATTTAAACCAATAAAATGTTGCGAAAGAATAGCACATAAACGAAGGTAAACTGTAGAATTTGAGACTCACGAATTCGTGGCACTGCGTATAATTGTGCACCATCTCTCTTTTGTGATGCGAGTGTCTGATTCGATTAACCAATAACTATCGTCGTTGGGCCTTGTCACAGTATTATTGTTTACTTGTTTGCTGAACTGAAGTGATGCTATAACTGGAACTGCTTGCCTGATTTCATCCACTTCACAATCGAAATCTTGTCGCTCTTGTTATTCAGGTACCGAACAACTTGTTGCAAGCAATCCGTTCGGAAAATTGTCCTGTGTGGGGTGGTAGTCATGAAGAGTCCACACACGAACTGTTAATGAATGGGAGCAATTGTGATATCCTGATTCTGGGTCAGGCGAATGGTTTAATCACATTGCTTGCCATGGGTAAGGGTGATTGTGTATACCGCATTGGCACTCTACATACTGCATCGATGTTCTCCCTGGACGGGGATACAAGTGTACAGGTAAGTTCATCCTAGAAATTGATGGCCTTTTATATTTTGTGTTTTGTTCAAATGCGGATTTCTGCAAACGTGTGTGGAAATGCTTCTTTGCTTATTGGATTAAAAACGGCTTTATTACTTTTATGTGTATTTTCTTATTGTGCGTTGCGGCGAGACTGCTTTGAGTTGCAACCTTTTGAATAACAGTGTTAACAGATAACTCTTAAGTATTACTCTAAAACCCCCAGTGAATTATTTTCAAACAGTTCAATGTCTAGAAAGTTAATCATTCTGCTTTGGCAACACTGGATATCTGTTTCATTCTTGTTAGATGTGTATATTCGTCGAACTTTTGACGACCGATATGCATACATGCATTTTTGCGAGTCCTGCAGGTTATCATCGATTGAATGGGAAGGGGAATTGGAAATTCTAATGATGACCGACAAAGAACACTGTTTCGTCCTATTTGGGACTCGTACAGTATACTGTGTCGGTCGTCACATAGTTGCATCACATGTAAATGCATTTAACTGGTGGGGAATTAATAATCTCCAAAGGAGCGAAACCTGCACTCAAGATCATCAACAGTGCCTGAACCGTGTGAAAAACTGGTTGGGTTGATCCAGACATTTACCGTCCAAACGAACTTACTCCATTGATCGGTTGCATGCTACCTTTAAATGATATACTGCTGTTTCTATGGCTGTCGAACTCACGTTCACGCACGTGAGCGGTCACACAGGCTTTCACTTTCTTAGTGCTCTTCATCAGAAATCCAAGAATCAGCTCGATTCCTATACCGATGATGTGTTATGTACTGTGATTATCTATCTAGCTACCTAACGGGTGAATTTCATGTGGGTAATGGAGGATTTGGTTAAATTTCAAATGGGAATTCGTCGTGTAAATAGCAAATGAAGCGTGAACTGAAAAGCTCGGAAGCACTGGACGGCTGTTTCGACCTGGTTGGGTCTCATCAGCAGTGCGAATCCATCGACCCGACTGGGGCTCGAACCCGAGCTTTTCAGTTCACGCTTCATTTGCTATATATATGACGAATTTCCATTTGAAATATTGGTGAATGCTGAAATTGTGAGAAGTCCATTAGCCTCGGTGCGATTCGAACCCGCGCATGGATACTGCCTACTCTGGTGTACAGCATGTACAGCATGCTCTACCAGCTAAGCTACGAGGCCACACCGATAGCACTGATCTTTTCACATTTGAATCACCTATCCAACTCACAGAGGTTTTTGGCATCCACTTTGTAACATGTAAGCTGACTGGCCCGACAGGTTTTCCTTAGAATTCATCGGATGAATATTTTGGTGAATGATCTAAGTGATTTCAATTTTTTTTTGATTTTCTCATCGTCCGCTAAAAATAGGATTCACGTGAAGTCAACAGACATACAGATTGGACATGCAATAGTGCAATGCGAGATTCGGTCCAGTAAATATCAACCTCCTGCGATGGGGTTCATAGTGCTCGGATAGCGGTTTGTCGTACACCTTAAATGACACGAAACCAGTGGCATTCGTGTTGTCGCTACTTATCAGATCTACTGGAACAGATAGTCGACCTCCATAGATAACGCTGGTTGGGAAATATACTACGCATGTCACCAGATAGGTTGCCACGGCGAGCGAGGCAGGTAGCGGTTGGAAAAAAATGGTATGAAAACCCTGACCAGGAGACTGGCTCACATAGGTCCCGTTAGGCTCCCTGGCTGGGGACCCAGAGATCATGGTAACCGATGGTTAGAGACTGGGTGTCACAAACAGCGACGCTCATGCATCTACTCATTATTCTTGTAACTATGAAATGTGCTACCTTCCGCTGGAATTTACTCTCAACGTTCTAATAATCATTCTGTTGTTTTCTCCAAATGGACAACCAAAACCGGCGCACCAAAGTTCATGGTTAATGATTGTAAGAACTGAACTGAACTGTTTGTTGCGTTTGTTTACTCAGTTGTTTAATTTTGTCCTGCACCCTAATTGATCTGCTGTGGAGTTTCGGTGATCTTCCGTAATGGAAATATTTTAACTCCACAGCATTAACTTTTGTTCTCATCATCCTTTTTATGTAGAAGTGCGTTGAAGAAGAGACATGGCCTCCATTCCGACGTGTTGGCTATTGTGCTTCAGCTATTGGACAGTTTGGCGCTCAGGCTGATCCTCGTCTGCTCGTGACAACAATCGAGGCTCATGTGGATAGTTCGAACACAATTAGCTTAGTGGTCGGTTCAGCCGGCGGTCACGTTACAGTTTGGACTGCCGGTGGAGAAACTGCTTGTGAAAATCAAGGTCAAGTTGCCTTCGAACCGG